AGCACATTTTTACACATCGATATACTTCACTTCACGTGTCAATACTGTTGTGTGGTTCTGTATATGCTGGGTGACTTGACAGGCAGCCATACCGAGGGTCTCAGTACAGCAGTGTCAAGGATTACTGTTAGCCTTCTTTAACGAGGGATTAACGGGCCGCCTCCAAAGCGCTCTTTCACCCGTCATGCAGTTGACTGACAACAGAAACACAAAAGTCACAACACCTGGGATATGCATTTAGCTCTATACTCAAATGTGGTGTAGGGGGCAGACCTTACATGCAGAGTAGGTCTGTCATGTTTCTAACAGTAGTTTGTCCTGTCAACTTTCTTTACAAGATGGTGGCTGTAGGACACAGTTTAGTTTTTTTTCTTCCTGGAAAGTAGAAATATGTGAAGGTTGAACATTTTTTCATATAGTTGGGGTGTTTCAGGGGTGATAGTAAATGTTAAGAAGATGGCAGCTGTTTCCAGCGATAAACATCATTGATAAAGTCACTGAGGTCCTTGGAACCATGTAGACGAGATGGCTGCACTTCACTTTTGATTTTCAAGTGTGAACCTGACATTGTCAGTAGCTTTTCCATTCCCCACTCTGGTAGAGGCTGATAGAGAGGTCTTCTGTCTGTCTTGTGTCCAGCAACCTGAAGAAGTGCGAGGAGGGTGTGAACCGTGTGCAGGGCGAGCTGGAGGAGAACGAAACGTCGATGGCTGAACTCAAAGAACAACTGAAGAAACTGGAAGATGAGGCTGGGGAGGTCATGAAGGCCTGTCAGGAAGCTGAGGTCGGCACTCTTTGTTCACTTCACATTTAAGGCTCTTTGTTTTTTGTCTTTCATAGATAGATGCACAGATATTTTATAACCACTACATCCAAAAGTAAAGGAAAAAAGTAAAAGTAGCAGTTTTCTGCTGCTTCTTTCAAACCATGACTTCTTGCCCTGTAGCTAGCTGGGATTATGTAATTCAAAAATGGAAATATTGTTGATTACAACCCCCACAAAGAAATGAAAAGTACAATTGCTACAACTGTTTGATTTTTTTATTTTTTTTATTTTTTTATAGCCTTTTGTAAAGAAACTGCTACATTCCACAAATCCTACTTGTATTTGCCAAAGTGTTTCAGAGTAGTGGTTTGTACTTTGTAAGAAAAACTTAGGTATTGAAATGATCGCTATGGGATTTTGGTGTTTGTTTTTGTTATGGCTGTGTAGAATCTGCACACCTCAATGAATTTTAAATACAGACTGAAATAAGCTGAGGACCAGTTTTGTTTTGTCATCTCTAGGCTGCGCTTCCTGAGGTGCAGGAGCAGTATCAGGCAGTGTTGAAGGAGATAAAGGTCCTGCAGCAGCAGGAGCACGCACTGCGGGAGGAGTCCCTCAGTGTCCAGCTCTGCATTGAGCAGTTAGAGACCACCATCACCGAATTCAACAACAAGATCAAACACTGGCAGAATAAGGTGTGTGTGTGTGTGTGTGTGTGTGTGTGCGCGCACGTGCATGTGTCCTAAGGCTGGAGTTTTAGCTTCTGTTCATAATGACTACATTATACTCAGAGCAGCCAAGACCTGAGGTCCAGTGGGGTAACAAACATATTTTGTGGACTTTTTTTTTTTTTTTTTTTTTTTTTTTTTTTTTTTTTTTTTTTTTTTTTTTTTTTTGTCGTTTTAGTTTAGTTTTTTTTTTTTGCTACTATAAAGAATGTGAAGGTACATCACACCGTGTTGAATGTTGGGATGGGCGCAACATTTTGGGAGTTACTTGATGTATTTACCTTTATACATTCTTGTTCTGTTTGCCTAAAAAGTTGCTTAAATTTTTTAGATTTCACTTTACCAACTGGTAATTCAAAATGGATAACCTTAGCTACAGTCGGCTAACTCATAGCAGACCTAGAGATCCTGTTGGCCAGAATGACAGACTAAAAAATGACTGCACCCTGATCTCATCTCTCTATTCGGGAGCTAACACTAGCTAGCAGCTGTCAGCAGACAACACAGACACTGCAGATGCATCAATTTCTGTCGTGTCTGTGCTCAAACTGAACTCTAAAGTGGATGTTTGAATGTAGTTGTAATGACATTGATGTGGGGGTATGCATTTTATCGTTGACTTCTGTTATTTGCTCTTGTTTATTGTCCAGGCCTCCAAGCTGTCCCTTCATGTCATTGAGGACAAGCCAGCAGAGGAATTTCTTGTATTCTCTCCAGCTGAACTTGAAGGAATCTCAGATCCCAAAGTCATTATCAACAAGATAACCGCATTAGAGACCAGGTGCACTGCAATGAAGCCTAACCTTGGGGCCATCGCCGAGTACAAGAAGAAGGTACACAGCTTTGGCCATCTTACACTGGAAGTATCAATGTTTATGTCCTGTAAACTAAAGAAAGAGGCAGATTTTCAGTGTGATTAAACTAAAGTGATTGGAAGCTCTTAAATAAGAAGTACTTTGAGTAATGATGTGTGCATTTTCAGGAGGAGCTGTACCTGCAGCGTGTGGCTCAGCTGGATGAGATCACAACAGAGAGGGACAAATTCAAACGAGGCTACGAGGACCTGCGCAAACAGCGCCTCAACGAGTTCATGAGTGGATTCAACGCCATCACCAACAAGCTGAAGGAAAACTACCAGATGCTTACAGTAGGCGGTGATGCAGAGCTGGAGCTCGTGGACAGTTTAGACCCCTTCTCTGAGGGCATCATGTTCAGGTAAGAGGCGAGGGAAAATGACGTAACCACTGGCACATTGTGTTGACTCGTTCTTTTGTTTTTTGTTTGGGCCTTGACTTTAGTTTCTCACTTTGTCTAGTGTCCGTCCTCCAAAGAAGAGCTGGAAAAAGATCTTTAACCTGTCAGGAGGAGAAAAGACTCTGAGCTCCTTGGCTCTGGTGTTTGCTCTGCACCATTATAAACCCACACCGCTCTACTTCATGGACGAGATAGATGCTGCTCTTGATTTCAAGAATGTCTCCATTGTGGCCTGTTACATTTATGTGAGTATGGACTTTTAATGTACCTTATGTATTGAAACAGGGATGGGACAATATATCAAAATTCAATATATTGTGATGCGAAAATGTCAATACGTATTGTTTTGTCTAGCAATATATA